ATGTATCTGGGTGAAGCTGGGATGATTCTGCAACCGTGTTAGGAATCACACGTTAAAAGGTAAGACCTCGTTAGTCCTTAGTCCAAGTTTCTCAACTTCTGTCAGATATATTATTCCGCTTTCCTGTTCATCATCATGTTGATAACGATCACAATGATGTATAAACGATTTCTTTTATCACGTGGTAACATTGCTATATTCAAAGCCGTAACAGATATGAATACGATTAATGGAACAAAGGTAATTAAAAAAAACTAATCAATACAGTTTATTGTATGATTTTTCCTATAAAAGCGTTTTACAAAAACCGCGACACGTGTTTCGCTGTACAATAGCTTCCTCAAGCATACACTCTATGTTTATGTCATAGTACACTTCGAATACAATAACATTTTTTTTTTATTTCTTGATATTTTCCGAAATAACAAGTCCAAACAGCATTTTTGGTGTTCCCCGTTGTTGTGTTTTTTATTGCGCTAACCACTCTTTGCTACCAAATTATGTTATTGAAACTAAAGTCTGAACCGCTTACGTTGTTCTACTAAGAAACTGGGCTGCTGATAGCTTCTAAAACTGTTTTTATTTCGTAAAATGTTGTACAATTCGAAATTAATTGTTTGACAGTTACGACGTTTTTCAATGATTTTAATAAACATTGGCGTAACAAAAAAACATTAAAAAGGGAACAAAATAAATATTAATTTCTTCAAATCCTCAAACATGCCCCCCGCCTGGGAAGGCCTCACGTATTCTTCTAACATATAACTGAAATCAGAATCTGGAAGTGGACATAACTTTGAATAAGATCTCTTGATATCATATAATAATGCGTCCCAACTTCCATCTCAAAGGAAGTAAATTATCTTCCTTTATCAAGCCAAGGAACCAATTTTCAATTCTCCCTGGGACGATTTCCATTTAGTTCTCTGTTGGAGTTCGGATATATACTCTTTTTGCCAACGATTCCAAAAATGTTGATGACACTGTTGGGTAAGCTGATATCTGGACGTTCGATTCACGGGAATGTCTCTGAAGTTCGGGTTCGGTATGGTAGTTAAGGGTCTTTCCACAAGAAAATTAGCCGGGGTAAGAGGATTTAAATCTTCAGGATCGGAGGAAATGGAAAAAAGGGGTCGTGAGTTTAATACTGCCTCTACCTGCACAAGAACTGTGTTTGACTCTTCGAAAGTCAAATGCGCATTTCCAACAACCCTTTTCAGATGAGCCTTACTTGATTTTATTCCAGCTTCCCAAATCCCTCCGAAATGAGGTGAATAAGGAGGAATCAAATCCCATTTTATATTGAATTCAGACATTTCATTCTCTAACTCGTTTTTATGATCTGATAAAAACCTACCCAATTGTTTCAAATGAGATCTAGCAGAACACAGTTTGAACCATTGTGGGAAAATAAATGAGAAGGTTTTCCGCGACGATCAATGAACCTTCTAAATGCCATCAGAAAAGAATTTTTGGTTAAGTCTGAAATCAATTCTAAATGAATCGCCTTTTGTGGCAAAACAAATATAGAGTCCTATATAACACTTATTGAGTTTTGATCCTCGACCTTTACGATCTTTGACTAAAATAGGACCTGCGTAATCAATACCAGTAGTATTAAAAGGCGGAGCTGGCTGCAGACGAGACGCAGGCAATTGATCCATGAGTGGCTGTATCCCTATTGGTTTAGTGCGAAAACATTTGACACAATGTCGTATAATTTCTTTAGCAAGGATTCTTCCACCAATGGGCCAATACTTTTCTCTCAACGATGCCAATAATTGCTGTGGACCACAATGCATGAGTATAGAATGCTCTATTGTCTATTTGACTTGGTACATAAAATGACGGGTCAGCTAAAATCAGGTTTTTAGGAATATTCAAGTCTTTAATATTGAGAGATACACTCGGTAACTCGCTGAAAATACGAGGAATAACTAAACATGTAATATCTTCAGGGTTCATATTCAACATGCTCTTCCTTATACAATTTACATGTTCAAAAGTACATGATAAGCTAAATAAAACTGTTTGAAAAAGGCATTGCCAATTGCATATGCAAGNAGGGTCAACAGTAGCTTCCAACATATTCGAATACAGTTGCCCTGTTGAATTTTGATCGATAAAATTAGAGGTCCTACAATATGGTTTCCCAACATTTTTGCCCAAACGTTAATTTTTTCTGAATATTAGGTATATGTCTCCCGGAAAACACGACGGTTGGTGTCATTCCAATAACGGCAATTTTGACTGTGAACATTGTCGTTTGAAAAAAATGTATCTGTTACGGTTTATAATATAGCAATGTTACCACATGATAAAAGAAACGGCCTCTGTATACAGTGTTTGCCACAAAAAACTGCTTTTGAAAATTTGAGGTGAGGAAGTGACGTTATCATAAAAAATTATCGATCCATTGCACTTCTTTGAATTATCCACCAATAAACAGGATACTCAGTAGAAATGTAACGCATCAAAGTTAGTTTTTTTTTCAAAGACAAATCTATATATGTTAGGTTAAGAATCACATGTTAAAAGGTAAGACCTCGTTAATCCTTAGCACGCACAAGTTTCTGCTTCTGAGGGTTGTCGTTCGTAGGGGTGCGACAGCTGGTTAACGGAAAAACAGATTTTAAAAGAGACAGATTTTCCTTTTCCAGATTACGTTAGAATGGTGCTTTCAAAAAATATAAGATTATATGGGGGTATACCGAGTGGCTGAGAAATAATGCCAAAAATTATCCATTCATTCGGTATTCATATTTCATAAAATGTTTTTATAATTTTGAATATTCAAGTAACACCTAATTGTGAGATTTCCACTACAAAGTTCACAAAACCGCAACACATATTTCGCTATACATAAGGTTCTTCAGGCCTGTTCAGAGTGTGAATAAGCTATTGTATAACGAAACACAGGTTGCTGTTTTGTAAACTGTCCATTAGAAATGTCACAATACGTTCTGGAGTTTCATCAAGTTTCGGCCCATTCCATTCTATCTGTAAAATGTATTTTCAATTATCAAATTGTGCTTTCACATATTTTCAGTGTCAAATACCTGATTTCTTGAATTGAATTGAATTGAAGGGATTTTGGCAATGCATACACAGTAAAATTTAATTTTTTTTAAGAAGATCTTAGGTTGCTTTGAAATTTTTATCTCCATTGGAGAAACTATTACTTCATGCCAACAGCACCATGTTCCACAAGAGAATCACACTTTTTTCAACGAAGAAATCAAATTTCTTGGCCTTTCAACGACATCATTCGTTTGACTATATTATTGCGAAGATGAACTATTTTGAATCAAGAAAATATAATCTCAAAATCTACCATCTATTTGAAGAGAAAAATAAACTGTTTCAACTGGAAAGCAACATCAACTTGATCTGAACATATATTGTTTGTTTGAATTCAAAACTGTACATCTTCAAATAACTCAATTCGTTTATAACAAGAGTTTCATGAATATTTATACAAAACTATATTATGATCGACGTCACACCTACCTCGAGTCGGGTGTTCCACAAGGTTCCGCTCGAAGGTCCAAGAATGACTAAAATGAAGCGACATAAGAAAAACTATGGGATTTTGGTCCAGAATCTGTAATGTTTTGACCCACGATTATATTATCGTGAGTATGACTGCTTAATGCACACAAGAATTACAATAACTCTTGTGAAAAGATAGGATAAGAAAAATAACTAGGTAGATGTACTGTAGACAAGACAAAATTTGATTCTAACTGTACTCTCACAAGGTTTGAAACGTAATGAAAACATTTACAAAATGCAATGTTTCACATCGGTAGTTAGAGAAGGGGTTTCAGATTCGTCATTGTAGGGATAGACAGAGGTTTGGATTAACTTAGGTAGGAGAGGTCATAATAGCGAGTAATTCACAAGATAAGGGATACAAGGAACAATTGAGGAATTAAAAATCTAGCTATTTGTACCTTAGAATATTTACGTGAATAGACTCAAATATACAGGTTGCTTGAGAAAAGATATTCGAGAATATTGAATTTTATGAGGATAAGTGGATTAGAAAAGACCCGTACATCAGAAGACAAACTGGAAAAATTAGTGTCTGCCCCGCTGGGGACCGAATCAGGTTTTTAGAGTTTGACAGAGCCGCACTCTCACCATATGACCTGAAAGACCACTCACCATACAAACTAATCGGATTCGTAAAGAAGCTGGGTTTATTTGGTCGAGTGTGAATAGGTGTGGGTCACAATAAACCCTTGCGGGTTGCGGTGGAGAGTCGAATGGACCCACTAACTTTGGACCTCACCTAACCATACCTGATAAGGAACTATGGATGGAAATTGCTAATGGTTCATGCTCATATATACGAAATTGCAGAATCACTCAAATACTCCATATGTTATTTTTTCATTTTTATATCTTGGGAAATAACATTGACTTTGATATTTGTGATTTCAACTATGTGACGTTCAAAAAAATAAAGTGAACTTAATAAGACAATAGCATTCGTCAAAAACTTTTGACTTCAAAGGAGACGAACATGAAAATCGCTTAATATAATTGTTATTTTCAACTATTCTTTTTTAATTATTCTTTTTTACTTGTTTCAGGGATTTCAAATCATTTTATATAGTAGACAATGGAAGTCCGGACTAGTGAAATTCATGAAAATCGTATGTGAATCCAATACTGAACCCTGAGGAACACTTTTTTCTTCATTATGAACCATTCAGTGATATTTCTCAAGTTCATTTCGAATGAGAGAATTATCAAAGTGGCATCTTTTTATTGGCATTTTTCTATCAGATTCAAGTAAGTGTTACTTGGATAAGTTATGAATTTTCATCAGGTTTCGGCCAACTCCATCACATATTTGTTCTCTCAATTGCATGTAAGTTGGAAAATTCAAAAAGAAGTAAAGTATGTTATCACTCGAACTTTGATTATCCCACTCATATCCCCGTATACACGTTTATCAGGTATCAGATAAAAGATAACAATGGGATATCTGAAACTAAACTTAGTGACGATGATATAGTCGGTTTCAGCGTGAATTGCAAATTATCTGGCAATATCACGAAATTTCTATCTTAAAATTTCTGGACTTGTATTTGATACATATGTGTAGTGTTTGTACGGTAGTTTAAAGTGATCTGGTGAGTAGTGAGTAGTGACTGTTCAACTTGACTGACCGACCAACTTGGTAATTGTTACTAAAAAACTAAAATTTACTAAAAACAATTATTGATTTTGTAGAAGCTATCGAAAAATACAAATTTTTACTTAAATAGGCATTTTGTATGTCATTCACTTTTTCCATTTATCAGAATAGAAAGTAGCATTGCGATTATGCTGATTTTGACTACCTTGAGGTATGTTGCTCCAAAAGTAATTTCCCAGTACCACACTTACTTGATTTCTTCAGTCAGACTGCCGTCAGCTTTCTAGAAAAAAGGTTCTCCGCAGCAGCTCGTTTATTTCTCAAATGATGATTGATCCAATTTTTGAGATCTCTGAGATTCTGTTTTAAGTTCCTCCGTTCCTCCTAGTGGCCTAGTGCCATGATTTATGAGAATATAACACATAACTAACCATCTCTGTACCATTGTTGTATCACATTTAGCTGAAGTCTTCATTACAAATCCCGGAATCAATCAAAACTCAGCACGATCACCTGATATATGAAAGTAGAATTATCTTTATGGGGATACAAAATAAGCCAGTATATGAGTTTTATTCGTGAGTAGGATGTTGCCAAGACTTTTGAACATTAACTATGTTGAACGTCATGTTTTTTTAATTATCTACAACTAGACATAGTATAGTTGTAGATAATTCTATGCGCTAAAGCATATTTTGTCAATTGGATGATTTTATTTTTAAAATAATAGATAACGTGAATTTAACTTCCAGAATACATATCATGAAATTACAAAACAACAATGAAAATTAATTGGCGCTCCGGGGCGACTGCCAATGTCTTCTCTCTCATAAAACAAAATGTAGGGTGTCTCCAGAGGCTCCAATAAATTCAATACATCGCCAGAACACTTCGTGACACGACTATCGTCAAACTTAAACCAGTCCGTTTCGTCTTTGACCAAGGCGTAATAATGACCAAGTTCAATGCCAGAACCACAGTGAACAATTACCGCATGAATATGGTCTGAATAGTGGTCTGCTAGATCACTGTTTCATCTATTTCGAACTTCCGAAAGAGTTTCTTGCTTCCTTCAGAGGTTGAGTCTTGTTTGAAGATCATCAGTGTTATTATTAGATTGACTGTTGCCTCAGCTATACTTGTTTCCAGTCAGTTATATTGGTGCATGTTTGGCAATACAGTCGATCATCACCTGTTAAAAGTTCCATTTTCAGATGATTCAACAATAAGCTTTGCACGGACTGGTTATTAGTCATATTAGGAAACGCTAGTTGAAGTTCCAGAAATTCACATTCGTTTTTGCTACCTCTTGAACATCTACTACAAAGTAAACAAGTGATAATTTTTCCAGCAAAATATTTACGAACACAAGACGAGACAGACTATACGGAATCATTCAATCCAGAGTGTTCAGGAGTATTGATTTTGCTGAGAGTATTCAATATTTGTATCCCAAATAGACAATTAAGATACCTTTTGAATGATGTGTCACAAACCTCCACTTCACATTGAAAAAATAAGGAGTTGAAACACCTAATCTGATGAAGAATGAAATTCTTGGGTAAATATTCGATTCTTGGAACTGGCGCTAGTTTTTGAAAAATTTGTAATCAGACTAAAGTATAACGATGAGATTGGAACCTTTGGTGTGAAAGTTGAATAACTTTTTTCGAGATCAATTGATGGTGTTTAAATTTGTTATAGGTTTGTTCCTCAACTGAGGTGAAAAAATTATTAGTTATTAAGTAGGTTATATCGCTGAAAGAAGATCTAAGTACTATTATTTAGTTAGTTGATTAACGCTTGAGGATGCTATAAAGTTATTATTACCGAAAGTCTTGCTGTACTCGACTTTTCGACTTCAGTGTGGCCGTAATTAAAAAAAAATCTAACCTCTATAATTTGGTTAATACAACCACGCCTGAGGAAGCTAAAAAGTTTGTAATACCGGAATAATCGACTGTTCAACTTTAGTGTGGTCGTATCTCTGAAACAATTTTTTAAGCATTATAATTAAGTTACTATAACCACAACTTAGGAAGCTAAACAGTTTTATTGCCGAAAGTCCTGAAATAGTCGACTTCAGTGTGGCCGTAACTCCGAAAAAATATCTGAGCTCTGTGACTTGGTTAGTACAATCACGCCTGAGGAAGCTAATAAAAAGTTTGGAATACCAAAAATCCTGAAATTATCTAGTTTTCAACTCTAGTGTGGCTCTAATCTCTGACAAAAAATTCTAAGCACTATAATTAAGTTATTATAAACATGCCTTCAGAATGTGAACAGTTTTATTACCGAAAGTCCTGAAATACTCGACTTTTCGACTTAAGTGTGGCCGTATCTCTGGAAAAATTTTTAAACATTATAAATCAATTAGTATAATTACGCCTGATGAGAAAGCTAAAAAGGTTTTATTATTGGAAGTCCTAGAATTATCGACTTTTCGACTTCAGTGTGGCCGTATCTCCAGAAAAACTTCTACGCACTATAATTAAGTATAATCACGCCTGAAGAAGCTGGAAAGTTTTTATTACCGAAAGTCCTGGAATAGTCAATTTTTCGATTTTAGAGTGGCGGTATCTCTGAAAGAAGACAAGTCGAATTTTATTTTCAGATTCGTGATCAGTAGACAAATATAAGTACGTGATATTTATTTCATCTAGAACAACCTCCATATCGTAAGATTCTTTCATTAGACGCCTCGAAGCACTTCAGTTCAAGTAGGTTTGAGGAAAACAATACTGCCACGTAATGACTTATCATTCATTCTCGACAGTTATAATGAAAGTATTTTGAATCTTATCTACGTATGATTACGAATCGTCCTTCAGAGAATAAGTCTATCTTTACTTGTAAATGAGTAACAGTTCCGAGCAATTAACTGATCATATTGACCATTTCATGTTTATAAATGAAAGAGATTTCGAATATTTTGTCAACTTGAAAGCTGAGTTGCTCGATTTCTAGAGTTTCGCTTATAATTCCTGAACTATAAAATTAACTAAAAAATTGAATTAACTTTTTAGTTCGCCTTTTCAATATTAACAACATTATTTGCAGTTTTCAGTCAAGCTTGTTTTCCGTTGACGATATATTGTGAGTCGATTATCAAATTTGAGGCCATTTGGTAAACAATTCACCCTATGGCATTTTTGTCAAAACGGTAATTATAGTTGAATTGAAAGGAGTATAATTTTTGAAGATATCAATTTTTTGAGAAACAACTTCTTCATAAAGATATACAGTGCA